CCTATGGGTACCCCCTTAGGATAGCCCTTGAGAACCTATGGGTACCCACTTAGGATAGGCCTTGAGGACCTATGGGTACTCCTATAGGATAGCCCTTGAGGGCCTATGGATACCCCTATTGGATAGTTCTTGAGGATCTATGGGTATCCCTGTAGGATAGCCCTTGAGGACCTATGGGTACCCCATATATAAGTACCAAGTACTCTTCTTAAAGTATAAGTACAAGTATCAAGTACATTTTTTTAAGTACAAGTAAAATACTTGTACTTGTGGTACTTGTACTTGTCCTACCTCTGCTCAATGAGGACCTAATGGTATCTGCATATAATAAGAGATGAATACCCAAGAGTATCTTCCAATAATAGAAGATGAGGACCTATGGGTATCTTCGCTGACGCTTATGAGCGCTCATATGAGCGTGAGCGTGAGCTGTACATCCCTAGAATCAACGGCATATAATTTTTCGATTAATTCTCTACACTAGTGTCGGTTGGTCTCATATTTATACTACAGGTACATGTCTTGTTACTCACGAGGGCACCACCCGAGGTATCAAAAAGTTTTTCGGTCGGGAATATGATGGTTAGATAGGGCATAGCTAGGAGTGATATACCCTAAGTTGGTTCGGGCCCAAGTTGCTTCTAGCAGGAGTTATGAATCTTGCAAGTTATTAAGCGAAATTTCCTGTTTTGCTGTTGAATGTTAGTTTTCTTGAAGAAAAAACAACATATTGGACTGAAGTTTTTCTCATATCTATGTCGACTAATGATCTTGATCATTCCAAATTTCAAGCACAAAAGAATATAGATGTGAGGAAAAAGACAATTTTCAAGACTTTTCATGTTTTACTACTTGATGAGAAACGAATCATCTAAGCAAATTTTTTTAGACTATTCTCGAGTTAAAGTAGACTATTTGTTGAAGAAATGTAATCTTGTTCTCTTCTTTTTTTCATTCATTTGAAAAATATGCTTTTGAAAATGGTGATAGATTTTATCTTCGTATATGTTTGCGTGAGTATCAAAAAAAAAAGAACAAAAAAATGGGAACAATCATAAAAACGTGGTGCATAATTATATAAATCAGATACCATGACTATAATAATTAACGAAAAAGTCATGTAAACATAATATTTTGTTGCAACAGCTACATCGAATGAACGCGAATTGCTCACAAGAAGGTGTGTCACAGTAGTCTTGTTTAAATTGAAAACACACTTCGGTCACTATTTGAAACGGTCCAGGATCAATATCAGTATAACCACTTTTAAACCATGCGTAGCGTATCATAGGCGTAAAGTTCGGAGATGAAAGCTAATTATGAATAAGGGATTGTAAGCAGATGATATTATTTCTTTGCGCAAGATGAATGTCTATTTCATCAAGAAGAACCCGCTCGTAAACCTTACGCCCGATTACTTTCCACTGCCTGTTGAAGAACACATCTAATGGCTGGATTTTGAAAGTCATTTTCCATGGAATCTCTAGCCGTTTCAACCCTTTTATTGACTCATACATACCTTTCCGATCAGTCTGTCCAGACCAACTATCGGAAATAAGCAATGTTTTGTGTGAAGACAAGGAAGGAATGAGACATTTATCACGCCAGTATTCAACTAAGGACGTAGTTAATTTACCTGATGCACTGCATGTAACGACAACATTTTTCATCTGTGGAAGATTTACTCTAATGTTCTCGCTCATTCGACCATTGATCTCTTTGAGACATAGATAGATGGGACCGACGATTTTGCCACTCATACTTATTGTCGGCTGAACTGAATAGCTATGAGTGGTTACATTTCTCGAGCGTACAGTAGCGAGCGTTGTCTTCTCGCCTTGATGAGACAATGTTCGGGTTGAGGGAAACTCGAGTTGAAGTCCTGACTGATCTGTATTCAAAACGAAATCTTCATTGTAATGCGGCAATAATGATTTAACTTGCATGACAAATTGTTCAGCTGACCTTTTAATTTCAATCTCATCGACTAATACACGTTTTGTAACTACCTGAAAAAGAAAAACGATATTCAAATACTAGTATATAATTTTATGCATCCGTATGCTGGCTATAAAACAGGCACTAACCTTTATAATTTTTCTTGAACAAATATTATGCTTCTGCTTAAAATTTAAGATTCAATGATCTGATGCCACAAAATCGTGCAATGAGATCATTCTAGCTTTTCGTATGCCCCAGCGTTTTAAGTCTACGTCGTGAACTGGACACAGAAAATTTCGGGCGCGCTCGAAATTGTCATAAACATAATCATCTAATAAATCGATTTTTTGTTACTTCGTACCTCCTTGTTCGACATAATCTCGAAAATGCGCCATATACGATTGGTGAGTAACTCGTTTAAATTTGTGTTGGACGCTTTTCCACGTGTGTGATAGTTTTCCAGTTTTTGGATTTATTGCATCATAATAAGCAAGCGCTCGTTCCATGTACGACAAAGAAAATGACTCAAACACCGGTTTCTCTTCATCTTTTTCTTCATAATCTGGATCATCAGACTGTTCATCAGGTTCGTCTTCGCATTCATCTGTTTCATTGTCTGATGTATTATGATCCAGAGTTGTTTCATCTTCTTGATTATATGAAGTGCTTGTCCATATTTACTCGAATACATCGAATAATTGATTGGCAAGTTCTTCTTCTTGAAATGGAGTAAGTGATGATGAAACCGGAAGTTCTTTAGAAGTTCGTTCTCGGAACAACAGTATTATTCGATTTACTTCACTCATTGTCTGTTTTTCAAATTATAATATACTATGTAATCTGTTTCTTCTACTTTCTCGAGTAAATTTTTCTTTTTCTCTTATCTTCTGCACTGTTACAGGCATGCTGTAACACTGGCAGTAAGTGATAAATGAAAATAGTTACTATCACGTTCTCTCCATTTTTTCTGTTTAATACTCACACAAACATATACGAAGATAAAATCTATCACCATTTTCAAAAGCATATTTTTCAAATGAATGAAAAAAAGAAGAGAACAAGGTTACATTTCTTCAACAAATAGTCTACTTTAACTCGAGAATAGTCTAAAAAAATTTGCTTAGATGATTCGTTTCTCATCAAGTAGTAAAACATGAAAAGTCTTGAAAATTGTCTTTTTCCTCACATCTATATTCTTTTGTGCTTGAAATTTGGAATGATCAAGATCATTAGTCGACATAGATATGAGAAAAACTTCAGTCCAATATGTTGTTTTTTCTTCAAGAAAACTAACATTCAACAGCAAAACAGGAAATTTCGCTTAATAACTTGCAAGATTCATAACTCCTGCTAGAAGCAACTTGGGCCCGAACCAACTTAGGGTATATCACTCCTAGCTATGCCCTATCTAACCATCATATTCCCGACCGAAAAACTTTTTGATATCTCGGCTGGTTCCCTCGTCAGTGTACCCTGAAAGTTTCAGTCATAAACAGCAAGAATCTGTTGACAAAACTTTCATATTGGCTTTTCATAACTCCTGAAAGATCGTATAGTACTTTGTTAAAGTCAGTTGTAAATAGTTCAAAAGAACTTTTGACAACGTTTATCGTATGAATATGAACTATGAACCAGAATTGTAACCGGTCGGTCCAACTATTCCAGCTGGACTGGTCCGGTTGGGATAGTTGGACCGGCCGGTTTTCGCCCGTGTAAAGAAATTTCTAAACTCACCCCTGGTCCTCCTCAGGGTTAAGTCAAAAATGAATTTTATAATTTTCTAGATATACAATTTTTTCCTAATAAAATACTTCGAGAGGAAGCTTAAGTTCTTTTATCCAAATAATCGTATCGTTTCAAAATTTATCAGTTTTATTTTCTCCAATTTCTCTAAAATTTTTAATTTTTTTAATCGAAGTTTATTTCATTTCCTAGAAAGCACGATCAAAACAGTGTTACTTGAGATAAGCCTCTCAACTTGTCTCATTGATATTTTGTTACCGACCAGATTTAAGATCGGACCATCATTTAGAGAGAAACATTAGCTTTTTCTGTAAAACGTAAGTGAAAAAATTCAAGATTTGCGCATTAGCAATCTAGTGTCGGGTAGATAACTGTTTTTTCTCGGCGAACAAACATAACATATTCATCTTTGGAAAAATTTACAGATATAAGGGACTACCGCATCATATTTCTTCTTGAAGATTAACAAAAACGTGAGAAAAAGATAGGAAAGTGGGTGTTTTTTGAAGCCTCCCCATTTAATCGATCATAAATGACCTGACATATCGATCACTTGTTGCCGGTTTTCGCCGATTTTTACCGGTCTAAAAACTTTTTAGACCGGCCGGACCTGACCAGTTTTAATATTTTAGACCGGTTACAACTCTGCTATGAACACTCCTCTATCAGTGGTAAAAATATCAGCCTCTTTGGTCGAAGTATGGTGGAGATATTCAAATTTTTCTTTGTGGAGTTATTTACTGGACACCCTCTATGAACAATGCAGATTATAAGAAGAATTGAGTGATAAGCGTGATAGATAGGGATGATATCATGTAAGAATGATATTACATCAAAAATGATTGTGGAGTGTCTCTCGACACAGTCATCCACCAAGAACACATAGTACATCTAGCCTTAAACATCCTTTGTTATTAATTGAAATATATAAATTTGTTCATTTTAATTTAGATCGTTTAATAATGGAAGAAAATTCACACGATATAAATCAAAGACTACGTCCTTATGTTGAAAAGGATGAAGATAATATTCCACAAAACTCAATAATCAATGAAATGGCTGAGGCAGCTTCCTCCGGGTATATCTCAACTCATTATTATTATTTATAATTTTGTTTAATTTTAGTGTTGAAGTGAAAGAAGTTTCAGCAAAAAATGGTGATGTTCAAAAAGAAGAAAAAGGAGCTGCAGAAATTGTCGGTTTTATAAGTCTAGTATGTTATATAAATCGATCTTGAGAAAAAGAAACTAAAGATACTTATAGTTTCGGTTTTCAAATGCAATGGATTTTTTTTATATGTTCATTGGTACAATTGCTTGTAATATTCTTTTCATTCAAACGATTTTTTATTTATTATAACTATTTGTTTTATTTAGCTTTGGTACATGGCGCTACATTTCCTTTGAGTAAGTTGTTAATTTAATAACTAAAAATAATTTTATTAATATTTTTTTAGTGTTACTTATATTTGGAAATTTAACTGTTACATTTACTAATCGATCATTTGATCTATGTGGATTGAATTTTACAATACTTGATTGTTTTTGTCCACCTGATGTTCATCTTACTCCTGGAAATATTTTTAATGAATATAAGTATGTTTTATCTTAATTCCTTTGAAATTTTATTTTATAATATTTATATAGAAAATGCAATTTCTCAGCACTTAATTTTACGTTGCCAAATATTGACTTTTTAGCAAATGTTCGGCAACAATCTCTATGGCTTACTAGTAAGTGTTATTATTTTCTTGTAAAATAATTGACTGATTTTTATTTAATTATTATTTTGAATTTTAGTTATAGGATGTGGAATAATTGTAGTAGGATATTTTCAAGTTAGTTTTTGGTCAGTTGCATGTGAACGTCAAACACGTCGTCTTCGTGAAAGACTTCTTCGAGCAATACTTAATAAAGAAATCGCTTATTTTGATATTAACAAAACTAATCAACTTAATACACAATTGACAGAAAATGTTAATAAAGTACACGATGGTACCGGTGATAAACTCGGTTCAGCATTACAATTTATTGCTTCTTTTTTTGCTGGTCTAGCATTGGGGTATATTGAACTGATTAATTTCATAGAATTTTTAATTTATTGATTTAGATTGATTCGAGGATGGAAATTAACATTAGTTATACTTTCAGTTGGTCCATTGCTTTTTTTAAATGCATTTATCATTACAAAAGTATATAGAAAAAAAAAGGAATTTTCTTTTATTTAAAATTCTTCTTTTCAAATAGATGACAGCAACAATGACATCACAAGAATTAAAATCATATGCAAAAGCTGGAGCTATTGCTGAAGAAGTTTTTAGTAGTATACGAACTGTTTTTGCATACAATGGAGCAACTTATGAATCGAACAGGTGAGAGATTATATTTGATTACTCGATATTTTCTGTTTTAATAGATATGCAATACATTTAAAATCAGCAAAAAAAAATGGTATTCGTAAAGGAGCGATTAATGGAATTTTAATGGGTACTATATTTCTTTTCCTGTTTTGCACTTATGCTTTGGTATAGAAATTTTTGTTTAATATTTTAAAATATTTTCTTTTGTTAATAGGGTTTTTGGTATGGAGCTAAATTAGTTCGAGAGGAAGCAGAAAAATATTCAATTGATGCAATTCTTATTGTAAAAATAATATTTAATAGAAATAATTTAAATATTTAATTTCGATTTATTACAGGTCTTTTTTTCCATTATTACAGCAGTATTTAGGCTTGGTCAAGCAGCTCCTCATCTTCAAGCATTAGCACAAGCTCGAGGTGCAGCTTATACATTATGGAATATAATTGATACAGTAAATAGAAATAAAGTTATGAATTTCAAATAGGAATATTTTTTTATATTTAGCCATCGACAATTACAATAAGTAATCCAAATGGTATTCAAAAAGAGGATTTAATTGGTGAAATTAAATTTTCTAATGTTCAATTTGTTTATCCATCTCGAACTGATGTTCCTGTTCTTAATGGACTTTCATTTACAGCTCATCCTGGTCAGACAACAGCACTTGTTGGTACTTCTGGTTGTGGAAAAGTAAATATTTTACTTAAAGAAATTTTCAAAAGAATAAAATTATTCATTCATTTAGAGTACATGTATGCAATTATTACAAAGATTTTATGATACAGTCGATGGTTCAGTTGAAATTGATGGTATTCCTGTTAATCAATATAATCTTCGTTGGCTTCGACAACATATTGGTGTTGTATCGCAAGAACCAGTTTTATTTCAAACAACAATCAGAGAAAATATACTCTTTGGAAGAATAGATGCAACACAAGAGCAAATTGAACAAGCAGCTAAAATGGCAAATGCACATGATTTTATCATGTCATTACCACATAAATATAATACACTTGTTGGTGAACGTGGTGCACAATTGAGTGGAGTATGAAATAGTTTAATCATTTAAATATTCTTTTATTTATTTATTTGTTTTTTTTTCAGGGACAAAAACAACGAATAGGTATGATGATTATTGAATAAAAGATAAATGATTAAATAATATGAATAGCTATTGCTCGTGCACTTGTTCGTGATCCTCGTATTCTTTTACTTGACGAAGCAACAGTAGGAAGCAATTCGATGATTAGATCAATTAATTAGATTTAATTTAGAGTGCTCTTGATACAGAAAGTGAACATATTGTACAAGAAGCTCTTGATCGTGCATCAAAAGGACGTACAACAATTGTAATTGCTCATCGTTTATCAACCAATGTAAATGCATCAAAAATAATTGTGCTTAATAAAGGATCAGTTATTGAAGAAGGTAAAAGAAATAAGATATATTTTAATAAATGATAAATTTAGGAAATCATGAGACATTAATGGGTGCAAAAGGTGTTTATCATGGTCTTGCTGAAGCACAAAATTTACATCTGAAAGAAGATGATCAACAGGAAAATGACGATGATGATTTACTACGTATGATGATTTCTTAGGATTTAAAAAAGGATGATATAAATAAATAATCTAAAAATTTATTTTTTTAGCACTTCCTATTTATACTCGAGTATTATCATTAAGTGATCAACATTATCCTGGAGACGAAATCTTAACTGCAGATGGAAAATATGTAAAAAATCTGATCAACCAGACGATAGTACCGAGGTAAATTTCTTCTATTTACTCTTTTCACGAAACTAAATTTTATCGCTTAACATAGTAAAAAGAAATTAGTAAGTAAAAAACGAAATCTATGTTATTTATTCAACGGTATTGATAATTGCTTGTTGACACTAACTTCGTTCATTTCTCTTTTCTTAAAGATGACTACATCTCTTTTTGAATACAAAAATGATTCATTTAAGCACGTAATAAATTCTAATCGTTTGATCTTGTACAATCACATTTGCACATATTTGTTTTCATTGCACGGATATTTATTGAAAAAAAAAATAATAATAATAAGTTTTTGTTTTTATTTAGTATACCGGACCTTCACCATTTTGGACAATGCTTAAAATGAATAAACCAGAAATATGTTATATTATAATTGGTTGTTTGTCATGTATTTGTAATGGAGGTTAAATAATGAATTTTATTTTTTAATCTTATTTTTTCAATTTCATTTTTTTAAAGGTATTCAACCGGCATTTGGTGTTATTTTAAGTAAAGTTATTGCTGTAAGTTATATTTATCTTGAAAAAAATTTAATAAATTTTTCTTTAAAGGTTTTTCAATTATGCGATAAAGAAGAGCAAAAACATCGGGTATTTATTTATATTTTAATCTTTATTGGTCTTGGTGTTCTAATGCTTTTCACAATGTTTTTACAAGTAAATATTTATTTTTTATTATTGAATTAAAATTAAAGTTTTCGAAATAATTTAGAGTTGCCTCTTTGCAATATCTGGTGAAAGATTAACAGAACGTCTTCGTGCAAAAATCTTTCGAACATTATTACAACAAGAAGTTGCTTATTTTGATCATCCAGAAAATAATACAGGTGCACTATGTACTCGTCTTGCAACTGAAGCATCAGATGTTCAAGGAGTAAGAATAGAATTTTCTATTTGATATAATATATGTATGTTTGTTTTAGGCTACTGGTATTCGAATTGGAACAATATTACAAAATATATGCAATCTTGGTGTTGGACTTGTTTTAGCATTTATTTTTGGTTGGAAATTAACTTTACTTATATTAGCTTTTGTTCCATTTATGATTATAGCGGGATTTTTACAAATATATATGATGACTAGATTTGCTAATAAAGTATATGTGAAAAAGAATTTGAATAAAAATTTACTTTTATTTTGTAGGATAAAAATGCATTGGAAAATGCTGGAAAGGTTTGGAATTTAAGGAAAAATAAGAATTGAAATGATTATTTTATATGAATAGATTGCTGTTGAAGCAATATCGAATATTCGAACTGTTGCACAATTAACAAAAGAACAACATTTTGGGGATGAATATTGTAGATTACTCGACATTCCTTTTAAGTATGTGGAATAAAAATAAAAACTTTAAAAATATATTTTGAGGTTTTGTTTGTTATAGAAATAGTTTAAAACAAGCACATTTATTTGGAATTTCATTTAGTTTTACTGATGCCGTAAGATTTAATTTTATGAATTTCGAAATTTTATTTATTTATTTAAAGATTACATTCTTTGCACAAGCGGCTCTATTTACTTTCGGAGCTTGGCTAGTTGAACGAGGAGAGATGACGTAAGTTATGTTTTCCTTAATTATGTATCAAATAAAATCTGATTTTTATTTTCTAGTTTTGAAGAGATTATGCTGTAAGTCTATAAAGTAAAGTTTTAAGTTAATTTTTTCTATTTAATTAGTGTACTCAATTGTATAATTTTCGGTGCAATGGCTGTAAGTTATTAAAAGAGAAATGAATATATTTGGATTAGAAGAAGAAATGCTAATACCGGTAACCCGACTTAGGCGAAGAGCAAACATAGTTGTCAGAACATAAATAGATAAAATAAAATAAAATAAAATAGAATAAAATAAAAACAAACTAAAATAACAAAAAGAAAGAACAGGAGACAACACGAAGGACAAAACACAACATAGAGGACTACACACATAACATAGATAACACATGATATTTACAAAATTATAGTGAGAGAATTGGAACTTGTTTGTCGAATGGTTATCATCTGCAGGTGAGTTACTGCAATATTCATCAGACTGTTGCCTCCAGACCACAAGCGGATCCAGTTTCAGTAACCGTCATCATACTTTACAGTAAACCATAGACAGATTTTAGTCACTAAACATAAACGCCTTGTTTTTCCAGCCATACTTTTGCACAGGCTTTCATATGTGCCGTTGCACCCTGTGGTTTCAGCAATCTACCACAGTCTCCATTTGGACACATATTCATTTTTATTGTTTTTTGATAGTAGTTCAATTAATTTTACTTTCGGTGCATTACGCACCTGGTAACTTGTTGTTGTCGGTATATTATGTTGATTGATTTTCTTTACAACATCGACGCTTGTATCTGTAACTGCTTTGTTCAAGCAAGTGTGTTGATGTATACTTAGACCACGTCTGTTTTTACAGACCCGTCCACAATGCACACACGTGGCATCGTCGGATACAGTTGAAGAGAGAAGTGGAGATACTGTAGTTTTATTTTGCTTAGGTGTCTGAAGTGTTTCCTCTTCTGTCCGACGTTTGATTGCTTTTTCTCTATGTTCTCGTATGATGTGTGCAATGTCAGGTTGTACCGTGGCGTGTTTAACATCGTGATTAATTGTTTTATGCCATTTATCTTTATCATGAACCTCTCGTCTCCAATTTTTGACGTTAGATATAGTGAGGTCCTTTGAGATTTTATTTCGCCACCTTAATTTGACACCATGTTGTGGTCTTTTTGCTTCTTTGAATGAAGCGAAGAGAGTCTTTTTCGGCAACATCGGAAGGCCTTGATCGTTATCCATTCGATTAACATGACCGAACCACCATAATCTGTTCCTTCTCAAGATATTTTCCAGTGGTGGTTGGCCAGTTAACTGAAGAACAAGATTATTTCTCATTCGATCACCGAGAGAAACACCAATTCTCGTCCTCAGACCATATGATGTGTTATAGCGATTTCCAGGAAATTTAACAGGTTTTGGGATAACAAACAATTTCCGGAAATTCAATTCAGTTTCCTTCGTGGACATAATCGCTATAATGTCCATTATGCCCATTATGTCCATTATGCCCATTATGGCCATTATGTCCATTATGGCGATTACATATGATGCCTTCTATTAGTTTCCAGGAAAGCAATTTCCGAAAAGGAAAAAAAAATTCCGAAAAGCAAAAAACCTTTTTAGGAAAGAAATTTCCCTTATCGTATCTTATATGAATTTCCGGAAAACAAATGACTTTCCAGTATTAAAAAATTCGTTTAAGATACAAGGCGTCTCTCTCGATGAGGGTGAGGGCGGAAATACGGACACACGCGAAAAAAGTCACACAGAGGGCATACCTCTCGATGAGGGTGAGGGCGGAAACACGGACACACGCGAAACCACACACAGTGGGCATCTCTCTCGATGAGGGTGAGGGCGGAAACACGGACACACACGAAAACACACACAGAGGGCATGTCTCTCGATGAGGGTGAGGGCGAAAACATGGACACACGCGAAACCACACACAGAGGACATACCTCTCGATCAAGGTGAGGGCGGAAACACAGACACACGCGAAAAAAGTCACACAGGGCATATGTCTCGATGAGGGTGAGGGCGGAAACACAGACACACCTGAAAAGACACACAAGGCATCTCTCTCGATGTGGGTGAGGGCAGAAACACAGACACACGCGGAAACACGCACAGAGGGCATCTCCCTCGATGAGGGTGAGGGCGGAAACACAGACACATGTGAAAAGACACACAAGGCATCTCTTTCGATAAGAGTGAGGGCCGAAACTAAAGAATGTGCAAAAAGACATACAGAGGCCATTTCTCTTGATGAGGGTTGGGGCAGAAAGTTGAGGACATGGGTCGCTATGGTGCGGCATTACGCGGAGTACGTTAAGATATCGCAAAAAGAAACTAGGGTAATCTCTGTGATTCGAAAAAGCATGTTAAATTAAGGAGAAGCTTTCTCGGAATTTTTTCTAGAATAGAAAAAGTGAGAAAACTCGAATTTATAGAAAGTTGAGAAACGGGGAATTTGGGAATCGGATGTTGCGGAAAGTAGGGAGATTGGAAATTGCGGAAACCAGAATTTATGCCGATTATGGCTAGGGTGTGGGTGTCGGTGTGGAGTGTGGGTGTGGGTGTGGCTGGGTGGGGTGTGGCTGGGTGTGGGGTGTGGGTGGGTGTGGGTGTGGGGTGTGGTGGGGTGTGGGTGGGTGTGGGGTGTGGGTGTGGGTGTGGGTGTGGGTGTGGGTGTGGGTGTGGGTGTGGGGTGTGGATGTGGGCGTGGGTGTAGTTAAAGAGAAGAGCCACACCCATCCCCACCCTCAGCCACCCACACCCACACCCACACCCACACCGACACCCACACCCCACACCCACACTCACCCACACCCACACCCATACCCCACACCCACACCCCACACCCACACACCCACACCCACACCCGTCTCATAACATAATCAATATATATGTTAAATAAGATCGGAGATAGGAGACAACCTTGTTTGACACCAATATTCATATCGATGGTAGTGCTGAAGTCGCCATCGATTCGCACTTCAGCATTTGTGTTTTTATATAAAAGTTTGAGCATTGTAATTGTCTTATCGGATAATCCGTATGCGCGACATACACGCCATAGTGCTTCACGGTTAGCCGAATCATAGACCTTTTGAAGATCAATGAAGCACATGTGTAGCGGTTGATTGAATTCCTTTGAGCGTTCCATAACCATTTTCAACGTAAACATTTGATCGATTTGTGGATCTGCCAGAACGAAAGCCTGATTGTTCCTCTAGCAATTTACTATCTAGCATGCCCTGAATACGGGTTAGAAGGATTCGAGCAAAACTTTTTCCTGCTACAACAAGCATGGATATACCTTGATAGTTGTCACAGATCCGTTTGTCACTCTTATTCTTATATAACCGTATTAGGACAGCCGTAGTCCAATCTTTTACCATGATCTCCTGTTCCCACACATCACGGATAATTTCATGTAACCATTCAGCTAGAGAAAGACCGCCTGCTTTTAGAAGTTCTGCAGCCACCTCATCTTTTCCAGGAGCTCTCCTACTCTTGATTTGTTAGATTGCTCTCACGACCTCACCAATAGTTGGTACAGCGTCTTGACGAGAAAGTTCTTTATGGTCTATGGAAGGGCTTGGAATTTGCTGCAATATATGTTCATTCACCACTGTTTTCACATTGAGCATTTCGTCAAAATATTCTCTCCACCTATTTAAACGAGCTTTGCTATTGATTAAGGCGTTTTCGTTTTCATCATAAATTGCTACATGTTCAGAGTTGGCACCACTGCCACGCAAGCGTCGTATAGTTCGAAATGCACTTGCTGGATCGTGGTCTTTTACTGCTTTTTCTATATCGACACTTAATTCTTCTCAATATTCTCGTTGCCTAGCTTCTACCTCGTTCTTAACTAGCTTGGCCAGTGTTCGATATTTGTTTCTGTATTCATTCTCTTCTTTCGTACTTCGATGAATTTGCCATTGTACATAAGCTTTGGCTTTCTTATCCACAATATCTTTTATGTATGGTGTAAACCATTCTTTGGTATTATTTTGGTAGCCTTGGTCTTCTCCAAAATAATGTTTGCCATGCTCTCGTACATAATCGGCAAATTTTGTAAACTTTTCATTCACAGATAACTTCATCTCATCTTTTTTTTGTGTTTCCACGATATTTTGTTAGCTCTGCCTGAAAAATAACTAACACATTTTCGTCGCTCAATTTCGCGTGATCTAATTTTAATCGACCTGTCTTTGTCGTTTTTTGACGACATTTTAAATGTATGCGAATTTTGGCGCGTAAGAGATGATGATCTGTTCCGATGCTGCCAGTTGCGCCTCGATGGGCTCGCACATCTTGAACGCTAGTTTGAAATTTTCGATTAATGAGTACATAGTCTAGCATATGCCATTGTTTAGTTTTTGGGTGCATCCATGTTGTCTGGTGCACCCGTTTATGTGGAAAGAACGTGTTAGTAACAATGATCGTTGAACAAGTAGAAATCTACTAGTCGACGACCATTTTGATTCTGTTTATCAACTGCATGTTTATTAACAGCACTGTGGGCTGAGTTGGCTTGTTCTTGTCCAACGCGAGCGTTGAAATCTCCCATTATTAAAATAATATCGCCTTTATCAGTCTTATTGATTGAGGGTTGAAGCGCTTGATAGAATTCGTCGCAAGTGTCGATATCGGCTTTTAAGCCGTTTGAAGGATTAACAGGCGCGTAGACGGCTATAACAGTAATCGGTATAGGTCGACATACAATACGGACTGTTACGATTCTCGAGTTGACTGCTTCCCAGGTGGAGCCAGAATTTCTCCAAGCACGAGATGCTCTTGGACCTAGACATACGGCTGCCCCATAAGTCGCTCTTGAGCATTCTTGAGCTGGCACTCCAGAGTATATAAATGTATATCCATTAGCTACACATACGCCAGAATCTGGCATATTGGTCTCAGCTAATACTGCGACCTCAATTTGGTATCGTTGTAACTGTCGAACAATTAGTTCACGTTTAGTGGCACGATAACACGATCTGACATTCCATGATCCAAAACGCGTTATCTTAGTCGTATTGACAATCTCTGTTTGTTCCTTTTCTGTAGTGAGATAATGTTTTACGTCCCACCGACGGGTGACTAGCCCGAGAGCAAGACACAGTGGCTCCTGGATCCCAGGGGATGCCGTCCAAGCGCCGCGCCCTTTGAGAGCACATAAGTACTACCCAGTAGGAAATATTTGGATTTGATTTTATTTGATTTTATCAAAGGTTGGTCAAACAGCATCAATGTCTCCGGATTATGCCAAGGCAATTGTATGTTTGAATATAAATAATAAAAATAGATTTATGAGAATAATATAGGTATCATCAAAAAAAATTTTGGCTTTATTTGAGCGTGTACCAGTAATTAATCATTATTCGGCTGATGGAATTATATTAGTAAAGAAAAGAAATTTAAAAACTTTATTGATTTGATTTTCCTTTTTAAAAGGAAAATTTTAATGGTCAAATTGATTTAACTAGTTTGGGATTTCGTTATCCAAATCGGCCTGAAATACAAGTTTTGAAAAATTTTAATTTAACAATTGAACCTCGTATAAAAATTCTTTTACAAAAGAAAATTCGATATTTGTTTTAATTTAGATAAACAAATTGCACTTGTTGGTTCATCCGGTTGTGGAAAAAGTACAATTATTCAGTTACTTGAACATTTTTATAATCCATCAAGTGGACAAATAGTACGTTAAAATCGATTAGAAAACAAAAAAATGATTTCGATATTTATTTTAGTTAATTGATCGAAATGAATTATCATCATTAAATCTTCAATGGTGGAGAAGTCAAATTGGTTTTGTTAGTCAAGAACCAGTTTTATTTGATGTATCAATTCGAGAAAATATTGCATATGGTGATACATCAAGAATTGTACCTATCAAAGAAATTCGAGAAGCCGCAAAAAATGCAAATATTCAACGATTTATTGAAAATTTACCAGAACAGTATGAAACAAATGTTGGTTCAAAAGGTACACAATTATCCGGTGGTGAAAAACAACGAATTGGTACGAAATAAATCTAGCTTTTTTTAACAAAAGAAAAATCCTTTTTTTTATTTAGCTATTGCTCGAGCTCTTGTTCGTAATCCGAAGATTTTATTACTCGATGAAGCGACGGTAAATAACGATAGTTTAATATATATTTGTTAATTGATTTAATTTAGAGTGCACTTGATACCGAAAGTGAACGTATAGTTCAAGAAGCTCTTGATCAAGCATCTGTAGGTCGTACAACAATTGCTATAGCTCATCGTTTATCAACTATACAAAATTCTGATCTTATTTGTGTTCTTCATCGTGGTCGTATTGTTGAATCTGGTAAACATGATGAATTATTGGCTCGAAAAGGATATTATTATCGTTTAGCCCAAGCAAAAAAATAGAAAGTTTATAATTCAAATGACATTTTTATTCTTAAGAAGCTTGATTTTATTTTATTCTGTTTTTTTAATACGTAATAGTTTTTGAATAAATAGAAAACACCAACGATTACGAATAGAATATGAAGCAACAAAGAAAGAAAAACAAATGTGCGCATAAACGCATACAAACAGTATGAGAGAAGATTAAGTTCTTAATTTGAAGTTTTTTTCTCTTGAATTGTTTTAATATGGTGAATAATTTGATGAACCACCATTATCGCGACTAGCACCGCGGGTGTGGGTGTGGGTGTGTGGGTGTGGGGTGTGGGTGTGGGTGTGTGGGTGTGGGGTGTGGGTGTGGGTGTGGGTGTGGGTGGGTGTGG